TCCTCCTGTACATGCTGAATGTATGTCAGACGGCCGCTCCCGGATTGCAATCTGTCAGACAATAAACCGGTGATTTGCAACTTCTCCCCGTGTCAGCTGTAAATCTCTTCTCATCCACGGACCCGGTGGAGACGCCGTGCTCCAACAATTTCCAGTCAAGCGATTAAATGTTAAAACGGATTGCCATAAACGCAGGCGAAGTTTTCCCTGTGACGTCATTTCAACATGGCGGATTACAGTCAACTGTAATTCTACTTTATATTTTAAAATGTCTATTTTGTTAAATGTATTAATAGTTATATATGTAATTGCACGTGCTCGATTTAGAGAATACCACAATGACCGTAAACAGTTTCCTAGCATGCAATATCAGATTTTTACCACACTCGTTAGTGTCTTTTGTTTGTTCGTAGTTTGTTTGCCTCTCGAAAAAAGAATATCGCTATGAATGTACTAAAATATTTTACGGAGCTTTTAATGTGGTTTGACTAGTTCGTGTTTCTTGTTTGTTGATCATGTCACCTCGGAATATCGAACGCACCATTATCACATAAAAGTAAAACAAAGGGCTCAGCATAAGGCTTAGCATTCAACTAACACGAAAACCTTTTGCATACGTTTATAACATACATCAAATGAAAACATTAAAAACATAGATGCAAACATAGATGCATACTGTACCTTTAGACTATTTAGTAGATTTATTTTTACTGAATGCCTTAAAACAGTGTAGGCCTACCTGACCAAAATAATGACTGATATCATTTAGAAGTAATAAACTATGAAGATTCATATAAAATTATATAAACATTTAAGACGGTGCCACACTTACCAAATACTGAATCCAATAAAATAAGTAATATAAGAAAAACGTATTTTTTTTCACGTATCCTAGAATTTTCCATAACGATTCAAATGATTCCCAGATTCCCAAATGAAAGTGAAAGGTATTCTGAATTCGGAGGTGTGGCTTGCGAGGGATTGTCAACTGTTCTTCAGCAGTGGATGCGATATTCGCCAGACATTCACAGATAATCTTTGAATTTACTCTATTAAAACATTACAAAACAAATTAAATTGCACATTAACAAATTCTTATGTGTTTGTGAAATCACATGCACACATTGGTTATTCAATTATTATATCCAGTAAATTGTGAAAAAGAGGTGGGCGTGGCACACATGAGGATCGGACGGAGCTGGGCATCAAGTCTGTTTTGTCCCTTTTCCTGTGTACTCTGCGTTAGAGGCCCTCAGATGTGTCAGGACTAGAGGCCACAGGTTAATTCGATGGTTGGATGTGCTTCCATTTGTTAGTTGACATTTATTTCTATTAGATGAGTTTTTCATTTTTTTCTCCTTTTTTCTTTTCGTCATTTCCCTTTTCCTTAAGTATTTTATGGGAGGCACCAAAACCTAATATGGGGTGCAAATAAACCACCAGCTACTGAATTGTATGTCATCTCCTGCTGTTTCCTGGCCTGACCCTGAGGCTCTTTGACACTTTACCCTTTTAACAACCACTAGATCTAGCATAAATGTATCTTGATCATGACTCATTAAAATCTAATCACCAGGAAGCAGGGGCACCACTAGAGACTTTGGGCCCAATGAATGCATATCATATTGGGCGCCCAACTAAGACCAAATCCAACTATATTCCTAACCTTTATGCCCCATGTCACTCAGGGTCCCAGTCTTCTTTTTACAGCTGTCCACGTAAACTCTAACTCCACCTGTTTGCTGCTTCACTCAAGTGACCTGCATGCTTTTCACAAATAGCAAGTTTTTGTTTGGTAACAACGATCTTGTGCAGAAGGTATCTGAGTAAATATTATTTGACTCAGAAATGTAACAAAGTGAAAGAAAAAGTTGCAACAACTTTTAATGCTCAAGTACAGTACCACCATAGTAAGCCCTGTTGGCACCCAACATCAAAATAATAAGGAAACCCCAGTGAAAATTTTCTGCAGACACCACTGGTTATATTGACAAGTAACCATCCCCTGTGATATTTTGCTTCTGTTTAATGAAAATCCAGTAACTATTGCAAGTATTTGTTGAAATGGTGTAATGTTTAGCAAGGTTGAGAACACTTGGGGAGTGTCTCACATTCCTCCGTTTTCTGTACCTTCTTGTCCTATGAAGGGTTGCATGGTTCGCGGGGCAGAGAGAGAGATAGGATGCTCGCTAAAAATTTGGAACATAATTGGATTGGTCTGGGTTGGGGGCTCAATATATGCTTCCATTGAGCCCAAAATGTGTAGCGGCATCCTTGTCCCTACATGTCAGGGTCATAGCTCTTCAACAAGACATCCCAAAAATATTAATGTGAATGAAACAGTTTTTTATAGAGGAAGAGGAATGGAGGAACAATTTTGGAATGCCAGAAAAACAAGTAATTAAACATTATGAAACATCTTGGAAATACAATTACCAGTCATTCCAATACCTTCACTGATCCATAGCAATTTTGACACTTTGACACTTCTCGATAGATGGCGCTGTAGCTCTGTTTTCGGTCTCAAAACTGATGTTTGATCTGTGATGCCTGAAAAGTAAAATGCAGTGTCATTGTCCAAAATTGTTAAATGTGACAGTCACACAAATGTTCTTCACTTTTTCAAATATATTTATAAATGTACATTTAACACATATGTTGTTATTGTAATGGACATCTCCTCCTGTTCAGTGGGTTTCCACCCACAGTTCAAAATGTATGTAAGGCCAAACTGGTGTCTTTAGAAGTGCAAGTGTTCTGCATGTGTGTGTCCTGTGGTGGCATTTTGTGCAGGAAGTTCCTCTTTTCTGTGCATACTGGGATAGGCTCCATGTTCACCATGACCCTGTACCAGATACGTAGATTGTACGATGGATGGATGGATGAGCATTTTAGCAAGCAGCCTAAGAGCCCACAAAAAAGCATCCTGTAAATAGCAAAAAAACGAAACACACAATAGCGATAATAACACCAAGTACAAGCAGTAGAAAGAAGGGGGGAATGGAGACTTGTGTATCGACGTCTGCATTAAATCTCAGTGAAGTGCATTTGGTTTTTACTATTTTTACACCATACAGGAAAGAAGTCATATAAACCGTTCTCAAGAACTGCTGTGATTTTCCGATGTTTACGGAATACTGTCTTTATACGCCTGATGATGACAGTAGCTGCAGATTCTGGAGGAACACGAGTTACGTCACGCTAATCCTTAGCAGGAGCCCCATGAAAGCATATCCTATTGGGTCCCAAATCCAGACCAATCCAATCCAACGTTTCAAATTCTTGAGGGCCCCTGTCACTCAGCACTCAGGGGCCCTTTAAATCATTCTAAATCCCCCCCCCCTCCCCCCTCCTTATGGCGCCCCTGATCCTTAGTTGAAAATGCAGGACTCAGTGATCAAGTAGTTCTGCTGGGGGTCACATACTGCGGATCTCCTGGGGGTCTCCTGGTGCCATTTAATGACGAGCGGCGCATCGGAGGAGTTGTGGGCAGGGTTTGGACGAGGAGGCGGAGCAAGGGTCGCATGGCGCACAAGCTGCTGACGACAAGGCCTGTGGGCGGAGCTGAGGATGCAGCCGGCGAATGGCGACGAAGGCAAGAAGTCCGGAGAATCTGCCAGGACCTCCTGCAAACTCTTACAGCACATAACAATGTCAAGACAGCACATTACTGTAAGAGCCCAGCGACAGCTGGCATGGGGTACGTTTGGAAAGCAGGTTCTTGAAAAACAGTATGACAGTTGCATTTTAAAAATGTTCCTGGGGATTATATCATATTTTACCTGGACAAAGCTCTCTTTATTTAGTATTTATGCTGTTCCGGAATCTGGACAGATTTAGAGAGGGGTTGCAGGAGGGTCAAAGCCTGAACAGATAATGACAAAGCCATTTTAAAAGGAGTGTGAGGTAGGTCATGTTCTCATATTTCACGACAAACAGAGGCGGGGCAGATGCAACCGCCCCCCACACACACACACACACACAAAGTATGGTTATACACTTCTAAAATTAGAAAAATATATATCCAGGGACCTACATGACATATGTCTGGACTCCTCTGTTAGCATTGTTTCATGGACACTCATAATAGTACACACTTTGATCTGCTCAGGGTGGCAGTAAAAAAAAAAAAACTTTATTTACCCTATCTATGATACAGTTTGGCAAGGAACTTTAAAACCCATATATTTGCGGCATGGTGGTCCAGTAGGTAGCTTGACTCCCAATTTGGTTTTTGTGTATATTACCAGTTTATGTGAGTTTTCACAGAATACTCTAATTTCGTCCTCCACTCCCACAAGTCATGCAAACTGTTGTCTTTCAGTTACACTTTTGTGACTGTATGTGGCTTGTGGGGTGGCTTGGCTTCTTGTCCACGGTGCGTCTTTTGTTTCTTGAAGACCCTTAATTGGACAACCAGTTACTGTACATTTCTAGATAAAGGAAATATCATTAACATAACACTACTGGAATTTGTTGGCACCATGGTCTTTAGATTGTTATTTTTTTATGTAGGCCCGCTTTTATTGTTTGTTTTCTCTCTTTTTGTTTGTTTTTTATGGTATTTCCAGTGAAATGCATCCCATTTTTAAAATATCACCCTCGTGCAAATCGGAGCTGCGCGTGGCGAGACAATGCTGAGGTTTCGCGAAACACCGTAGGCGCCATCAAGCCTTTGTGTGCATTTTCATTAAATCGCGTTTCACTTGGTGCAAAGCAAACGCCAACGTTGGCAAATACAGTGCACCACAAAAAAAGGGATATCGTGGTCACATACTGCGGACACGTGGGCGCCCATTTATAAGAAGGGCGTGATACCCGTCGTGTCATTTGTAAATTAGATTAAACTGTGGATTAATAAGGCATAAACGGAACAAGTCATCTGACGTCCCGCCCGCCTACTTTTTTTTCCTCCAATTTACCTGTGACTGTATGAAGATAGAGTCTTCCCATCTCTGTCTTTCAGGTAGAAAAAAGGAAAGACACTCACTTCCGGAATGACGGGGAGCCTGTGTGATTTTCGCCGCTTATATATTCCGCATGCGGGCCACATTTTCTCGTCCAGGGCTAGATTGTTGCTTGCGGCTATTTATTGAGAATATCAAGGCAGATAAAGGACGAGCTTCGGAGAATCGATAAAGCCGCCTTATTTTGGAAAAGCGAAGCCGGGCAAACTCCGTTTGGTTTGCGGTGTCTCACAAAGAAACCTTGCGGCGAGGGAAAAATGAACACTGGGAAGAAGGAAATGACTTCTTTAACGTATTTATTTTTATTTTTAATGTTTGGTAAGATCCCGTGAAAATCTGTGCATTTTCTCAAATGATTGTGCTACAATATTATGTTGTATAATGTGTTTTAAAATACATCGTGGCTGTTTTAGTTGGTATGATGTTTGAGACCATTGAGTTTAACATATGCTGGGTTATTGGATAACTATTGAAAAAACTTGTATTTGATCAGCCGTGGGAAACTTGCGGTCTTGTTCTGTATTTATGTACCGTTTTTGGATAAATCGTAAATTTTGGTAATTTCCATTTTTTTCCGGGGACATGTACCGCCAATTCCGACACACTTAAGCATAATTGCTGCAATCGTTTTCTTCCCTATATATACACTGATAATTTTTAATCTGTCCACCTTTTATTTCAGAATCGCAACAAAAGAGTGAGTTTTAAGTGTTTAAAATGCAAGCGTTGGGATTTTCAGACAGGCTTGTTAGTCGTTTACGCATGATGTCCTTCAGTTTCACATTTAATTCATTTATCTAATGGACACTAAAGTAGGTTGTTACTATTTGTAGGTGGTGGGATGTATAGGCTACCTTTATTTTTGACATTAAGTGATCAGAATGTGTATTAAGGTGTGCGGTTATTTGGACTGAGCTACAGTACAGTAGGTCAAATTCAGGCACTAGACTCCTGTTGCGCAATATGACCTCAAGTCGTTTAATTACGCACAACATAAAGCGCGTTAAGTAGTTGAAAGTGAACGTTATGGAGATATCCAGAAAATCAGTCCTGGACTGGCATAGTGTTGAGAGATGTGTGGCTATGTGGTAAAGCGTAGCTGGGGTTAGGTGTGGTTAGGTACTGGCCGTGAAGGTTCAGGCGGGTGTTCACTGGCACACTGGGCATGGGCGTGGTGGGTTGTTTCGATGCACGTTGTGTGTCTCCATGGGTTGGGACACTCAATGAGCCATAGCTGCAAAAATGTGCGCCTGTTCGGGCGCAGCGTCGTGTTTGGTGTGCCGCAGAATCCCCGAGCAAAGCGCCGCTGTGGGTTATCTCTCTTGTGAAGGGAATATTATACAAGCACAGGGACTTTCCTAGTCAGGAAGCAGCTCCTCATATGCACTTTCCCTTTAAAAACCGAGGAGTAACCGGCTCTGCCGGCTTTACTTTTTATGGAGGCGTTAAGTCCCATAGCCGAGAGGACAATTGAAATGCTCCTGTGATTATTTTTAATATTTACCCGGTCTTCTGTTCCCCAATTAATTTCAATTTACTTGTGTTTATACAAGCGATTGGTGGCACTCACTACTGTTTAAATTGTTAAAATGTGCGTTCTACCAAACAGGCATGTTGACGGCAGGGTGTGGCTCTGCGGGGTAAAATGCTGTGCTTTTGATCGGAAGGTCACTGATTCCAGTTCCAATCAGAGGGTCAGCATAGGTTTCACTATTGAGACGCTGTGCAAGGCCCTTAACCCCCAAGTGCTCCAGTGACTGGGTAGCCCTGCTGTCACTTTGTGTGTCACTTTGATAAATAAAATGTAAATGCCTGACACTGAAAGCTGTCCTGGGTTCGTTTATGACTTGTATATATGTGTATTTGGTGCAGTTTATTAGTTTTATTAAATGGGTCATTCTGACCCTGGTCACTGGAAAGGATTAAGGTCCAAGTCTGTAGAGTCCTGGTGCTCCCTGAGACATGGATGCTATTAAGTCACTTGAGACCAACACTGCACTCCTTTGGTATTGTATCTTCTGAGAATCCTTGGGTACCACTGGTATGACTTTGTGTCAAACGAGCGGTTGCTCAGGGAGTCCTAAACGAGGCGCCTTTCCTGCATTGTGGCGAAGCGTCATTTACGGCACTATGGCCATATGACCCATTTCCCTGAGGGTGGTCCGACTCACGGGATAATCATTGCTAAGGACCCAACCAGCTGGACCAATCCAATAGGACACCCATGGTAAACACCTGGCTGGGGTACATACATGGACACTTCCAGAGGGTGGGACTGGACCCTGTGTCGGCCTGGGGGGGGGGATCCCAAGGTGTTTCGTCATGTGGTGGGCTGTACCAGTTCATGTTGCCTGACCTGACTTGGCCATGGAGAGTTGAAAATGAAATGATATTCCATACTAACCAGTTGGCCAAATTCACCCTGGTACTTGCTTGTACCTGAGCTGTGTCCCTTGCTTGTGACCCATGCAGGTTCCTCTCAGGGCAGGGTGGTGACCGTCCCCTTCAGCCCTCTGGTCCGTGTGGCCGGGCAGACCGTGTCGATCCGATGCGACGTCATCAAGTACGAGGGCCCCCAGGAGCAGGACTTTGAGTGGGAGGTGTTCAAGGGTGGCCAGACTCTGCAGCTCATCTCCACCTTCGATAACTCGTTCCCGAACACCATCTACATAGACCGCATTCATAGCGGCGCCATCAAACTTGTGAGGCTGAAGGACAACGTGGTGGAGCTGCGGATCGCGAATGCCAGTGTGGCGGATGATGCCATTTACCGCTGCGCCACTCCCAGCACTGACTCCAGTATATCTGGCAACTATTTTGCCGATGTCGAGCTTAAGGGTGAGCCGTCCTAATGCAATGGTTACCTAGATGCTGGCTTGCCAACTTGCCCCCAGCTCAGTTCGCTACAGTACTGATTAAAAACAGAAAGTAGAGAACTAAGCCCACTTCCTATTGGCCACTTTAATGGCTCCCAGTGAGTTAAAGCAGGCTGTGATTGGCAGACAACTATAATCCCACCCACCAGCCTGGTCTCTTCGTGCACTATTTTTATGGGCCACAGTGACACAGCAGTTAAGGGCGATATTTAATAACTTGAAGGTTGCTGTTTCAAGTCCCAGGTGGGCTTTGAGTGTAGTATTCCTGAGTTGGGGATAAGAGTCACTCCACGTGAAATTCAGTTGAAGTGGGGGTGCTGTGGCTCAGCAGGTTAGGATGCCATGCCTGTAATTGGATGGTTACCAGTTCAAATCCCAGGGTTAGCAATGTGATTTCACTGTTGATTGGGCGCTGAGCAAGACCCCTAACCCTCAATTGCTCGAGGGACAGGCTGACTCTGCCATTGGGGGAAAAGAAAAAGGAAAAACGTGGTGCTTTGGAAAAATTGTCTGCTAAATGTAAGTCACCATTTTAGATGAAAAGACTGAATTTGATTGTGATACTTCTTGGATTTTTGTAGTGATCGGGGATAACCTGAAGGTGTCACCAGTGGCGGCCCCTGCGGTGGTTCTGGAAGGCAGCGAGCTGCAGTTGCGCTGTAATGCCGCCAGGGACCTGTCGGATCGCACCTACCTGTCAGTGACGTGGTCCATTCAGAGGGGGACCTCACCCAGTGAGGACATCGTAACCTTCGGCCCAGACAACGTGCTGAAGCCGGGCCCAACGTTTGCCCAGCGCTATGCCGATGGTGGAATGCGCATAGACGTCCGCGAAGGCGGGGCCTTCATCCTCACACTGACGGAGTCTCTGCCCAGCGACCAGGGCACCTATACATGCCAAGCCCAGCAGTGGGTTTTGGAGGGCAAGAACTCCTGGCAAAGCATCATGGGACGGAGCGTTCAGCTGGGGGAGGTGAAAGTCACAGCTATTCGTAAGTCCGGGTTTTTGCTATGAGTGCTGGGAGCATAGAAAAAGTCAGTGACTGCTGACTGGAATACTCTGGAATTGGTTGTGCATGAATGTAGTTTTTATTTGAATCATTAGCTGTTGGTAAACCTGAAATGCTAAGAAATTACTGAAAAATGTAATTCCAAATGGTAATTGATGAAATGTTCCAACATTTTAGAGAAAAACCTCAAGGTCTCTGTGGAGAAACCAACTTTGGTCAGTATGGGGGATAATATGCGTCTCAACTGTTCCATCTCTGCCGACAATCTCCCATCGCTGGGCCTGGAGCTGGATTGGCTGGTCAGCATCACTGCCTCTGCCTCCCCTAGTACTCTGGTTCAGATGAGCCGGGATGGGATAGTGCAGAACGTGTCAAGGCCCGTGGGGCTCACCCGGATCAAGCCAGGCTTGTTTGGACTGTTGGTGCATGATGTGGACCAGTCCAGCTCGGGCTTCTACTCATGCAGGGTGCGGGCTTGGATACGTCAGAGCAGCGGCCTGTGGTACCCAGCGGCCCAGAAGGTCTCCGACCCAGTGGAGGTTCAGGTATCCCTGCCAGGTAAGACATGTTGGTAGAAAGCACAGCTGGTCACCTACTACACTTAATTTACACGCTGAAACCACTCAGTCAGTGCATGTGTCCGGATGCAGCTTAGCAGGCGGGGTTAGTGACTGTGGGACAAACACCTATGATTGGCAGCCCATGATAACCTCCCCGCCTGGATATTAAAGCCTATATTCTCCTGGAGTTCTACCTTAATTTGGTGGGACTGACATTTTTTGTTAATTACATGAAACAAGCTTCTTTAAAAAATAGTATAATTTTGCACTGCTCGTTGGTCTGATTCATGCAGAAGGTTGGAATAAGCTTGCAAGAGACTTGCCGGTCTTCAGAACCAGGGGGATGACTTTGATATCCGTAGCTCGCTAGATCATCTACTTCTTCAAGTGCTATATTGACATGGTAGCATTGGTTTTAGAGAACAATTTCAGTTGCCTCGCTGCATGCGGCTTGGTGTCGAAGTCTCGATCACTCATAAGGCTGGTGTGGATGTTTGGCATCTGGTGCGACTAACCACCGGCACAGTTTTTATGTGGAAGTGCAACAGCGATGACATGCTAGCCGTCTCAGTGGATGCAAGAGGAACTTCTGGAGACTCCACCCCCATCTCTGATAGGCTTCTGTGGTGGACTCGCTGTTAATGGGGAACCTTATGATTGTCCCGCACAGCATTGTCATAGCATCAAGACGTGAAAGAAGGTTTTCCAGAATAACACTATTGTGACAATGGTTTTGATTTGGTGGAGAACTCTAAATGTGAGGACAAATTGGAGTAATTCATGGTGATGGGTGCTCTCCAGTTCCTTCCTGTTCAGGATCAAAAAATTGGGCGATTGCGTTCTCTGGGTTATGTTCACCTTAACCTGATCCTCTCTGCGCTACTAATCTCTGGCAGCAAGAAAGCACAGGCAGTAATAGAGCTTTTAGGGAGGTGGGTTTGCTCTCAAGGTCCCTCTCTTGACTTGAGCGTGTTTGACTGCAAGGGGTGTCCAAATTTAAGCCCCCCCCCCCCCCCCGCACAGTCTGCCCACACGTGTCTCATGAAAGCGTTTAAATGTGTTAATTGCGATTGGGATAGGTCTCTAGTGTGTAATGCAATTATGAGTGCTGCCTTTGCAGCTTTCCCAGAATCCTAGTGATTTGGAAGCGAGTAATTATTTCAGCCAGTATATGCCAAAAAAAACCTACAAGAAAGGGTAGAATTCACATTACACGTATGAGTCTATGTGTGTCTATATATAATGCAAATTGTATAAATATATATCATACTATTTTTGAAGCCTGGTCCTTCCAAGCGCATTTTTTTTAGAGGGGGATATGGGTGTCTGTAGCAGATGGTAACAGCACGTCTCCACCCAGATCCAGGATGAGCCACTCCTTTTACCCTCCTGCCTTTCCGGTCCCCTTGGGCCGGACCGCTCTCAGCTTGGGCCATACGAGCGGCCCAGTCCTCATCTCGACGGCATGTGTCTTTTCGGCACAGCCTTTGTCAGCGCTTTAGTCTTTGTCTCTGCTGCGCAGTTGAGACATGTCGGCGCAGATAGCTGCCGCGGTCTGTGATCGTGTGACCCATGAGGGCGTGCATGTGCAGCTTAAAGGGCCAGACCGACCTGGCGATGAGCGTCACAGCCCTGGACCCGCTTCTCCATCTCCGCCAGTTTCTCTTGGCCCGGTGACACGCCGCGCTGATGCGTGATGAGGCCAATTTTATCATGGTCCAGAACCAGAGGGTGCACGACTTGCCGCCTTTTATAGAATTAACTCTGACGTGAGCAATAAACACTCTTAGGAATGACTGTGCAGCTCTAACTGAACAGGCTGGCCCTGTCGTCCTAAACGCACGTTCATAAACGGCCATTTTCAGTGTCGTGGTATGATTGTCTTTGGAATCTTTTTTTAAAAGTTTTACTTCGCCGGTGCTTTTCTTCAAATCGGCATGCACTTTTTTTTTTTGAGGAAGCAAGGTCATACAATTCCTCGGAGCAATTAGGGGTTAAGTGGCAAAATCATGGGGATTTGCATAATGTTGAGATGAGGTGGGATTATCCCCCACAATAAAATCATATATATATCCTTTGTTCACAAAAAAACATAATGAAACGCATACAATAAATACAACTCGTCACATAATTTCAAGTTGGGGTTCGTTTCAGAGAAGCATAGATGCTAACTATGTCGGCAACTTACATAAGTGGGAAACAAGCCCCCGGCTGGCAGACAGTCACTAACAGACCTATGAGAAAAGTAATAACAGGCAAGTGGAAAAGCACTGCATGGCTTTGTATGTAAACTCACTGAAGACCTTGCATCATAACCAAAGATTATGTGAAACGGTGCGATTTAATAGCCTCATTGCGATTAAACTTAAGATAATAAGAAAATTAATCTTCGTTAAGATCATCTTAGTTGCAGCTTGCACAATCAGATAACTTAGTTAGTTAATAGCACAGCAAAAAATAGCAACGCTGATAATGCAGCAATAAATGGAGTTTGTGTCAGTCGCAAGTCTCACTCCTCTTTGCTGTTAGGGCATAAGAATGAGTCAAAAGCCCTTCAAAATCCAGGGCCAGACCTGGCATTTATTTGGAAAACGCCATAAAGTAAGTTACTCTGTTACCAGAAACTCAGAATCATTTAGTTCATAAACAGTGCTGACAGAAAATCCAATTTATTGCCAAGAAGAGTTTCAGTAAATCCCCTATATTTACTACTTTGGAAGATCTTCTACTTGCTGTTTTATGCGTGTTGTGTTGGTGCTAGTGATTCTTCCCAGAAAGTTAGCATGTGTTTGTGACAGCAGATATGGTGCTGAATAGTGATGGCCATCATAGTGGACTGTGTGCGGAGGTCACTTTTCCACAGTGCAGGGCCTGACATTCGTGGAAGGATCTCGCATTTTGTGGATAATGTTACTCTCTCTCTCTAATAGTAATAGTTCCTGCAAATTCAATGTACATATTGTGATACAATAACACACTTAAACTGGCAAATTAGTGAAGGTGAATGACAGTAAAAATGGGATGATAAATTTCACTTTATACACTGTAACTATAACAGCACTACAGAATCACCTTATAATGCTCCTCTCTCACCTCTCATCATGATGATCACATTCTCCCCAATGTTAATATGAAACCTATACCCCTGGGGATTTGAACCTGTGACCTTCTGATCACAAGCACAGCGTCCTTAGCCCCCTGAGCCACACACCGCCCCTCATTTGTGCTGTCACCGGGCTTGGGCTTATGCCATAGGGTGGTGTGAATTTCATTACAACAAAAGCCCCCTTGACTGTGTTTATATATCTCTCCCTCCCATACTTCTGCCCCACAGCACCAGAATTCAAAGTAAACCTGAGCGGCGCTGTGATCCCACAGAGCACCGGAGATCCAATGGAGCTGGACTGTCATGTGACCGACGTGTCACACCTGGGAGATGGGCGGCTGGCCGTGACGTGGCAACGTGGGGGCGGTGCCCCGGGCGACCTGCCCGCCAGCTCGCAGCTCATCGGGGGCCTGGATCACCACGGCGACCTGTCGCCAGGGGACGCGTACCAGCAGCTCGTGAAGGAGGGTCAGCTCGTGCTGTCCAAGGTGAAACCGGACACCTTCAAGCTACGCTTCCTGCAGATGAGCGCCGCGGGCATGGGACTGTACTCCTGCACCATCTCCGCTTGGACGCGCTTACGGGACGGCAGCTGGCAGAAAGCCGGGGAAGTCCGCTCTGGCGGCATCACCATTTCCTGGGCCTCTAGAAGTACGTGCCACATTGCTCTGAATCTGACAGTGAGGATTGTGGGAATTCCCCGACGCCTCCTGATATCTCAGCCCATTTAGTTTGAACTCTTTACTGCTAAGCGTGCTGCTGCTGCTCTGTGGTAGAATCTACAGCTTCTCATGCAACTTCAAATTTCACACGTATGTTTGAGTCACCCCAAAGGCCAGTTCAGGCCTTCCCGTCGTACCTCGGTGACACCCTGAAGGTGTTAACATTGTAGCAAAATGCAGTAAACAGGGAGACCGGTTTGTACTTAGTAACTCGGGACTGCGTGCGGTTTTTCCATTAACATGGCTTACAGAAAGCACTTGTGGAACCGGTTACGGTTCACTTTGGAAATCTAGCCTTGTTGTTTTTCGCTAGATAGTTGTAAAGTTTGGGCTGTTTCTTTCCATTTCCTACATCGTCCTGATATTTTAATGCATATCTGCTGTCCTGGTTACTTGGTTTGTTTGTGTTTAACTTAAATCTTAATGGAATGTGCAGATGTGTGCAGGGACAGCAGCTATGCCCAGCTGTTAGGAACATCTGGGGATGATGCATTTCCAAGTTCACAGGACTCTCTTTCCTTACAGAACCGGATCTCGCGGTGAAGGCGGAGGTCCTGCGGAATCCGGCCTCCCCCGGGGGCACCTTCGAGATGAGCTGCCAGGCGACAGTGCAGAACCTACAGGGGGAGGAGTTCTCCGTCCTGATCCAAAAGACACCGGCGGCTGGTGGGAACACCCAGAAGATCATATCACTGAGCGAGAACTCCATCCTGAAGCTGGAAGGATGGAGCCAACCGGACCGGCTGGACGATGTGATCCTCCAGAAAGTGGGACGGGGCAACTTCCAATTCCGGATGTCCGGAGCGCAGCCGTCTGACGGGGGGGCGTACTTCTGTGATGTGGCAGCTTGGACGCGCGAGAGCAGGAGCGGGTGGAGCAGAACCATAAGCGCGGAGTCCAATCGGGTCAGCTTGGCCTTCTCGGGCCCAGGTATGTGTGAGTGTGGTTCCATTGGCAGATCCTGTGCTGTGTGTGGAGTCAGCAGTGTGCTGGAATCAGGTATATGAAAACTGGGACAACAGCACACAGTTCTATTTTGGGGAAACTTCCCAATGACACGCTGAAAGGCGGCTTAATTCCCAATGACACAATGAAAGGCGGCTTAATTCCCAGCCCCATCCAGAAACGGAAACTGATAGCAAATCAGTTAGCAGAAAAAACAGCTTTCGGAATGTCTCTGTGGAGTTGACAAGCATCGTGTCCTTTAAACTGGACACAAAATCACGTCTTTATTGTTCTGACTGAATAGACAGTGTTCCCACCCAGTATAATGTCTGCTGTTTTCGGTTGGTCTTCCAGCCCATAGCCCTGCTCCTGGATTTAGCCCACATCCCTTACCACTCCCCCCCCCATGTTTATGGGCCATTTCAGAGGGTGACTGCCGACTGCTGCCCCCTGGAAACCCCCCGGTTCCCCCC